AACCATGTCTGAGGCTCAGTGCTGGTCCTGCCAGTAGGGTGATCATGAGACAATGTGGAGGTTGTAAAGGTCAGAATGAGGCCTGGCAGGAAACAGACAGGAGCTCATCTGAGAAGGAACAAGGGACTGGAGATAAGGGACTACAAGGAGCTGGGATCTACAAGCTGAAAACTAGAAGGTGTAGATTGGGAGATAGTCTAGAAGGTGGTTGTTAGGGGTTGGGGACTGTGTCCTTACATTTGGAAGCCAAATGTTAGGGGTTCGGGTTGTGGGGCTAGAAGCTAAGAACCAGATGCTGGTTACTAGGAACTGGGCCCTATGGCTTATGAGCTATAAACTAGAATGAACTGGATACTCAGAGCTGGGGTTGGAAACTGGAAACTAGGGGCTGGGAACTAGAATCTAGGAGCTTTGGACTGGGTTCTTGGAGCTGGGTACTTGAATCTGAGTGCTGGGAACTAAGGATTGGATTCTAGAAACTGGATTCTAAGAACTGGGAGATATGGGCTGGGAGCTGGGTTTTTGGAGCTGGGTGCTGGGAGTGGAGGCTGGGAGCTCGAATCAGGGAGCCAGGGGCTGGGTGCTGGGAGCTGAGATGGAGAGCTAGGTCTTAGGAGCTGAATGCAGGAAGTTAGGGGCTGGGTTCTGGGAGCTGAGAGCTGGGGCTGGAAAATGGGACCTAGAGGCTGTGAGCTAGGTTCTATGAGCTGAGTTCTGGGAGGTAGAGGCTGAGTTCCGGGAGGTGGGTGCTTGAATTTTGGGCTGGATGCTGAGAGCTAGGGGCTGAGATCTGGCTGCTTAGTGCTGGCTGCTGAGGCTGAAAACTGGCAGCTGGGGTAGGGATCTGGGTGCAGGGACTAAGAGCCGGAAGCTAGATCTGGGAGTTGGGTTCTGGGTGCTAGAACTGGGTATTGGACACTGGAATCTGGAAGCTAGGAGCTGGGTGCTGGGGACTGGGAACTGGGTACTAGCTATTGGGTCTGGAAGCTGGTACGCGGGTGCTAAGAGCAGGAAGCTAGGTGTTAAGTGCTGGTATCTGGGTGCTGGGTGCTGGAGACTGGTGCTGAGAGTTGGAAGTTGGATGCAAACTGCTGGGAAATGGGAGCTGAATGCTGGGTGTTGAGGCTAGAAAGTGAGGGCTCGGAGTTGGGAGCTGTGGCTTGGGTTGAGAATTGGATGCTGTAGCTGGGAGCTGAGAGCTGAAAGCTAGGATCTGGATGTTAGGTGCTGAGTTATAGGTTCTGGATGATGGAACTGGGTACAGGGATCTGGTAGCTATGAGCTGGGGCTGGAAATTGGATGGGAGTTGGGAATTTGGACCTAGGACTGGGAACTGGTTCTGGGAGCTAGCAGCTGAGTACTGGGTGCTGGGAGCTTGATGCTGGGTACTGGCTGCTGAGAGTTTGAAACTGGAAGATGGGTGTTAAGTGATTGGAACTAGGTTCTGGGAGCTGGGTCTGGGAGCTCTGTGTTGGGAGTTGTGGGCTGGGAGCTAAGGCTGAGAGCTGTGTGTTGGGGGATGGGGGCTTACAGCTAGTAGTTGGGCCCTAGAAGCTGGGTCCTGGGAGTTTGGGCTCCATACTGAAAGCTAGAGGGTGAGAGCTAGCTGGGAGCTAGGAGGGGGTTCTGGGTGCTGGGATCTGGAATCTAGGAGCTGGAGCTGGAAGACAGGTGGTGGGAGCTGAGAGCTAGAGTCTTAGTGCTAGGTTCTAAGGACTAGGAACTGAGGGATAGTAATTAGGAGGTGAGAATTAGGAGCAAGGGGCTGGGAACTGGAAGTTAGGGGCTAGGACAAGGTGCTAAGAACTAGGGGATAGGGTGGGTACCAGGGATCTAGATGGGTACTGAGAGGTATAGGCAAGAAGCTGAGGGCTGGAGGTGGGGGGGTGAGAGCTAGAGAACGGCTGCTAAGAACTAGATGTTGGGATTTGGGTTCTAATAGCTGAGCGTTTGGGGCTGGGACTAGCCATGAACCTAGCTCTGAAAGCTGGGGTTTGGTGAATGAATGCTGGGAGCTGAGAGGTAACTGCTAGGGCTGGGAGCTAGGTGCTGAAGGCTGAGCGCTGTGTTCTGGGAACTGGGTGCTAAAGAGTGAGGGGTTGAGAGTCAAGATCTGTGAATTTGGAGCAGGTGGCTAGAAGTTAGGAGCTAGAGCTGAGGCTGTGAAGAACTGGCAACTGGGGATAGGGGTTGGAAGATGAAGACTAGAGCTATGATTTGGGGATTGGGTATGGGGAGTTGAGGCCAAGGAGCTATAGATGTGGACTTCTTGTTCTGTCAGGGCAGACTGAGGGCATTGGCAACCACGCAGCTGTACTGACAGTGACTGTCTTAGCAGCCCAGGGAACAAACCCACTGCTGAGAAATGAATAAATAAATGAGGGATCCTGGCAGCTCTCGGCTTATAGAAGGACCCATGGGCCTGGTGAACTGAAACTAGATCTAGGCTTAGGGCCTGTGCATAAACACTTTGAGGCTGGAGGGCAGGAGGTACAGGGACCCTGCAGGAGCTTGTATGGGGTTCTGGCAGGTCGGTGCTGAGTGTGCTGGGCTGGACTGAGGCCTGGCCTGAGCTGACTGATAAGAAGCAGGTCGTCAGAGGCAGGAGACTGAACTGGCAGGACTCAAGGGCAGGAGAGGACAGCACAGGTACAAGTAGAAGACCCCACGTGGTGGAAACTCCAAAACTGAAGAGCAACCAGTGGTTTTGTCTAAGGGCCCAGGTCTATCTATGGGTGGTGGGGTTACAGGGTGGGGTCAAAAGGTAGACAAACTGTTTGGAACCTGGAGTATACATGGGTGAGAGATGGGAAGAGGTGAGAGAGGACCAGTGGATGGGACAGGGTCTAAGGGAGCAGGGGATGGGATTAAGTTTCCATAGTCTGAGGACTCAGGGACAGGGGGTATACCTCAACCAAGAGCTCACAATATATGCACAAGTAGGAAAGAAGGGGGCCCAAGGACAAGTGCAGGCTCCTCTAGATTGAGGATGGGTTGGGGTGTCCTGCTTTCAGCAGTGTCTGAGGATGAATGGGACTCAATCTGAGATAACAAACCTAGGGTCCAGGTAGACAGAGGTAGAGACAGAAAGGTATGCTGAGATTGAGTTGTGGTGGATGGAGGAGGTAGGGCTAAGTTTAGGCTGGATGAACAAAGAACTGGACAGTGGTCAAGAAGCACAGGCAGGCTACAATGGAACAGGGACTGCACTGGGAGGAGTAGAGGTGCTTCATTGGCAGCGCCACAAGAACAATACCAGTAGAACCTAGGTGCTCAGGACCAAGAAGCCTGGGCTGGGTCTGTCAAGCAGTAAGCAGCAGAGAAAGGCACTCCCATGATCCCAAAGAGCTAGTCCAGGACAAGGAGGGACAGGTGGCACTCACTGACCTGACACTGGGCCTGGGAAGCCTTCACTGCAGAGAAAATCCCATCTGCAGGAAATGCAGAGAGTGGGGCAGCAAGGGGCTCTGGGTAGAGAGACATGAATCAGTCTCTCTACTCAGGGAATAGAGATGACAAGGGTTTGCAACCAAGGATAGGGCTAAAATAGGGAAGAGGACCATACAGAAGATGTAGGAGAAGGGCCCACAGTGTGTGGTCTAGTAGAGGACCAGATCTGACACTCAGGGAAAGTAGTGTCCTGACGCCACTCGTATCTGAAGTTAATTAATGAACATAGTGGGAGGCTGTGTCTGTGAGATCCCAAGGTTAAGAACTGAGAGCTCTCAGTGATCATGAAG